TTGAAGTGTTCTCGTCTGGTTTCTTTACATCTATTGAAATGGACTAAAATTCAAGAAATATGAGAGCAGAAAAACAATATCATATTAAATAATTGTTTTGGTAAACGTATATGATATAAATAGAACCAGATAGAGTGACTGATTATAAAATGATCGCATGATTTCGAAGTCATATTTTTTGAGTTCAGATTTATATGATGAATACATCAATGTTAGACCACTATTGAAAATCTGGGAGCACTGGACGGCAGTTTTGTCCTATTATTGAACTCAGAAGTGCGCACCCACGATCCTGCACGCGGGAATCGAACCTAGGACCTTCAGGCGAAACGGTCATCCAGTGCTTCCACGTTCTAACATTGATCCATTCATCATATCAATCTCAACTTAACAATCTCTACAACCATATACTAGTCGTATTTTTAGAAATTTTATTTGTTTGTCATGACGAATTATCAGTTTCTAAATTTAATTTTGTAAAAATATCACAATACAATCTCATTAATTTGAGTATGACCGAATTCACGTTAAAGGCTTCTTTCTAAATCTTTCTCATAGATATAAATAGTTTTATAGGAAATTCATCATGGCCTACAAAATGTTTTGTAATAAATTTACTGAGAAGTTGTGTAGAAGAAATTGCAAGAGAACAATTTTTACCACCATATCACATATAATAAAGTCAAACGTCAAAATCGTTACTTATTTTAGGACACCTTAACCAGTTTACTTAGTAAGCTATTAATAAAGTCATATATAGTGTGCCTTAGTAGTGAACCAAAATGTCAACTACAAATAAATGAATATAATACATACATTCAAGAATCCATCATGTTCACAGTACACATTATACATTTTGCAACTTGTGAATAATCAATTACTTCGAATGTAAGTCTTTCGATAAGTTTTATGAACCTATTATATAAATAAAACGACTGGAAATGTGTGATTACTATTACCGCTGAGGGGTCGACTAATTTTATATTTGACATTGATTGGATGAGAGAAATCTTAGAATGATGAAAGCAGTAAGATCAGCCCCAAGGCTTCCTTGTGGCGCTACTGGGTAGTGAGGACAGCCTTGCTAGCTAACTTGGACGGTCAATGGAGATAAGACTAATTCACCACTCTTCTGAACCTGAATCGCTTGAGATTTCAACCTCGAGGCTTTCAATTAGTGAAGAGCTTCTTGATGTGTACGCTTATGTATATGAATTGAACGAGTTCCAACTTGCGTAATTGTGTCTGCACGTATATGCAAATGGTATGAGCCAGGTCAACAAAAGTAACGTTAGCTGAAATGCCTGTTTTGTCTAATAAAATTAGAGACCAAATCCAACAGATCGAAGACAAAGCAAAAAAAAAATTTAATGGGTAGCAAATATTAGGGAGAGGTGACCACAAACCCTTCTTAACAGTGCTTATGTGTATGCCATGAGGTGCATGAACGAATGTGTTCCAGTGGTATGTAGTGCATAAGACAGTAAGTATTAGCAAATACAAAAGAAAGAAGTGGTGACCATCTACCTTCCCAAGGGGGTGAATATGCCTATATGTATGCTATGGGATGCATGGGTGAAAATCTATGTTACCGGTATGTGTGTAACGGGTAGTGACTCCTAATGAGACGCCTGAGCGCCAAGATTAAGGGAGTTCTAAAGATTTCCCCACGCTATCACATCCACATGGTGGGCTTGTGAGCCTTAAAAACGGATTCTAATCCAGAAAAGCCACTTAGGCTTCACTAACCTCTAATGTCTGGAACAACACAGTAGGGCGAAACCAGCTTTAGCAGATTCAAACTGACAAACCAGCCAGTTAGTCATAAACAACGTAGAATCTTCCATATATATAGAGCGGTTTAGGTCGCCACAAATCATCAACACGGTGAAACGAAACCATCAAAATGAATGTCAAAGTAGTAAGTAGTATCGGTGACCGTTAAAAAGCCATCAAAAAAGAAAGACAACCCTCAAACTCATGTAAAGAAAAAGGTATAAGTGTACTTTAGCGACTAGTTAATCAGGATCGAGAACGTGACATTAAGGTTTTCGTGAAGTTTAAATGTGTCTAACGAGCAGTTAAGTACCTTCATATACTGCTCGAAATGTTTAAAATTATGGGGGAGAATGACACCGTTAAATGTATCAAACCTCTAGTTCCATCCTTTTAGATTGTATATAACTAGCGGATCGACATTATTCCTAAACCCTTGATTCCGAAACAAACTTAAATTTGGTGGTATTATACGTTACAGGTGAAGTAGTCAGAAAGCGCTTCTTGTATTTTTGAACCAAACTCATTCACCTAAGTAGCTACAGAGCATTTTAAATAACGACCGATGTTAGTTCGCAATGAAAACCCTAATTAGGAACGATATAGAGAGTGAAAAATCTGCTTGGGTCGTTTTTAAGAATTCGAGAAGATAGATAGTCTACATCAATTAGGAAGAGTTTATATGCAGTTGCTTTACTACTTACATGTAGAGTAACCTGTAGAAAACATTAATAAACTTATTAATTGCGTAACATCTATTTATACTTCGCAATATTATTGCTTGCTTATCCAGAAACTATCCACCTATGAAAGCTACTTTCTGGTTGGCCAGAAATTAGCCGAAAATTCGTCGTCGACCAAATAATATAAAGTAATACAATACTATAATTAGAGAGCCTAATGTAACCTATTTGTCAAGTACACGTTCACGTACCCAACCTTAAGCCATATGTTATGCTGAGGTTGTGAAGGTTGTTCGAACGAAAGTAGGTGAAACGGCGTTTGAACCTGTAAATTATTGGTTGAAAACCGAACGCTTCCAATTAAAGTTATTTTTCAGTGCTGAAACAATATAATGGGAAGATGAGTGTTTTCAACATTTTACTTTTAAAACCAACCAATCAACAATTTACGATTCTTCTCTGAGTACTCCATATTTTGCGAAATCCTTTTTAATCAGATTAGCCTAGATTCAAAATAATTGGATTTTTATATTAACTGAATGTATAAACCAGGGATACAAAACTATAGTTATGAGAAGTGTGGGTTGATCCGACACGGACTACCTTTGGAGTTTAAATTTTACTAAAAACGAAAACTTAGGAGAATTACTTACTTCAGAATCTGTGCAAGTTTCCCTTTCGAGAGGAGCACTGTCATCACTACAGGTGGTAGTAACTAACTCTTCAGTACGCACAATTTGATTTTTATGTTTTTCATCATCTTTTGGAATAGCGCTTTCCCATTCAGAAGTAGTGTCCATATTTGTTTCATGTAAGGGGTTATTTGATATATCAACTTCCATTATTTATAACAATTTATATTACTTTACTATCTAAAATGATAATAGATATATGATTATTTTACACTTATAACAAAAACCAGTTACAATAACAATACTCATTGAAATGATGACAAAAACAGAGAGCAGATAAATTTATTCCCTTAAACAGTCAGTAAGAATTCTGAGCATTGCAAAACAACTTTTATACATTCTGTTCATTGGGAAAAATAAAAAGTTGATAAAGGAGAAAGCTTTATTCCTGACACAATGAACCATCTACGTAAATCAAACATTTTTGTACGACTTTCCTTGGAAACATCATATTACTTGAATGCAAGTAAAATATTTAAATTGATCAAATTTATAAACCTAACTAGAAAAAAAAGGAATACAATCGAAGTAATGAAACAAATTTACAAAGTACAGGTTTCATGAACTCAGGTTTTGAGTTTGTCACGGAACAGGATTTGAATGATTTTCTGAACAAATTTCTGATTGTTAAAACGAATAGAAAGAGTGTTAACCAATAGATGAAGGATCCAGAATCATTTTATGGGGCAGGTGATATGACGGACAAAATCTTAATTGATTGAAGGATAAGTGACCTACAAAATTAAATCCTTCGAATCGCCTATGAAAATTTATACTTATTTTGCGTTAATGTTTTGTATATAGGCATGAGCATTTTATTAAGCAAACAACCTTTTCTACTGCCTAATGGTCTTGTCTTCAATTTCAAATTATTTAGGGATTTGAATTAACATTACGGTTTCGTGAGCAGGTATTACTCGACTCAAATTGCATATCACCTATCGATTAGCACTCTTTGCATAAATTTTAACGATCGAAAATTCATTTATAAAATTATAAAAACGTACTTTAGAACATAGTGACACTATTTTTGTGGGTTAGCAATAATATTCATCCATATAAATCCAATTGGGTAGGACGAGGTTTGAACCTAAGACCAATCTATTAGCCGAAAGCCCAGTACTTCGAGAGTTAAGCTACTACTCAATATTTCATTAGAGTAGTATTATAACAAATAGAAGTGTAGATTCGTGTATAATATTTCATGTACAACAGTATCAGATTACTGGTTCAAATTCAATTAGTTATTAAGAGTATTTAATAACTGTAAACTAAGTTAGCGGATTACTGAAGTCATAATATCTCAAATAGTGGAAATATAAAATAGCATTCCTATTTACAGAGATAATCATTTGGTTGGAAACAAAAAGGTTTCGTACTTACATGAACAAATTGCAAGATACTTATTTTTAGAGACAGAAAACAATAGTATAAATTACATACAGAAATTGTGAAGAAATATTACAACAAACATTTTTCGTGGCTGATACGGAATAGATGGAGTGTGGTTAGAATTGGAATCCAGGACACCTGTTTTGTCCTATTTGAGATTAGTCGACTGGGTGTACCTGCATCCAAGAGTTGACATTCACTCCAGGACTCAAACCCGAGACTGATCAAATTTCAGTCATAAATATTAAAAACAAAGATAATCCAAACCATCTCTAGTTGATTTTTCTCCTGACTGCTTAAAAACACAATCACAATCTAAATATACAAACTCAATCTTTTTTTGCAGAAAAAAATCCATCTTATTTTGAACAATAGAACAAATACATTAAAATAAACTTATATTTCACAAGTGTACAATATTACAAGAATAAGAAAAAATTTTATTCAAAACATTTTTTCAAAGAAGACCTTGACGTTTTAAATCTTCATAGGTTTTACGAGATACAACATTGCCGACAGAATCTTCTAATTCTTCTTCAACTTCTGGACGCCAACGTTCAGCTTCTTTCATTGTTCTTATTCGTTGCCATAAAGCTAAAGCTTCTTCAATTTTTGTTACGTGAGCAAAATGAATTGTATTCGGTATGCCTAAACATCGCATACCATGAGCATGTCGCCATTCAGAAAAATGTTGTTGAAATGCTTTAGGACCACGGTATGTTTGATTACCGCATATTTCGCAACTATAATACATATTTAATCCATGCAATTTGTACAACCAATATGGAATAGGCTAAATTTATAAAAATTAAAAACATTAGACACAATTTCTATTTATTTATAATTCTTACTTAAATATTAAAAAAATATGAAATTCAGTGAAGAGATTTCTTTTGTCAACGAATTTCTTATCGAGCTAGTTGACAGAGAAATAGGAAACTTATCCGTTTTTTATGATATTCAATATGTAGGGTCTGTAATGTCAAATGCGTCGAGTTAGAAATTAAAATCTTCAGAAAAATCTAAGTTGAAAACGGCTATCCAAGATGCTTCATGGGGAAAATAAAAGGAAGTCGGAACAAGGGATCCAAAAAAGTCGATTTCAAAGAAATAGCTTTATATGAAACATCCTAAAGGCCCTATATAAAAACACCTCAGGCAGAGTGAGGGCATACAACCACCTCTCCCCATTGTTCCATTCGAGCAGTGGGGTTAGGCAGAGTTGCCCAATCTCACCATTCGTCTTCGATTTTGCCATCAATGACATTCTGGAAACAGCTCTGATGGATGTAAGTAATGGTGGTGTGGATCTGTTGCCTGGAGAAAGACTTCTCGAGCCTGTGTATGCGGATGGTAGTCTTACTGTGCGACATTGTCCAAGCCATGCAATTCACACTTAATCAGTTGACAATCAGTGTCCGTAGGTATGGTATGTGCTTTGCACCTTCGAAATCCAAAGTATTTCTGCGAGACTGGCAGGATTCTAATTCTGTACTCACCTTGCATGGTGAGCAGATAGAAGTAGTCGAGAAGTTCGTGTATCTAGGTAGCTGCATAAGTGCTGGTGGTGGCGTGAGTGATGAGATTAATGCAAATATAGTGAAAGCCAGAGTGGCTTATGCCAATCTGGGCCATCTTTGGCGCCTTCGTGATGTTAGTCTGGCTGTAAAACGTCGGATCTACAACGCGTCGGTGAGAGCAGTTTTGCTCTATGCTTGTGAAACCTGGCCTCTCCGAGTTGAGGATGTTAGACGACTCTCTGTGTTCGATCATCGCTGTCTCCGAAGGATTGCTGACATCCAGTGGCAACACCATGTTAACGATGCAGAGGTTCGGGATTGTGTTTGTTCTCTTCAAATTCTCATTGTTTTGTGTGGCGCATATATATTTGGTGCCCTCTTGTACCAATATTTATGTGTTCAAATAAATAAATAAATAAATCTGAGATGTGTAAGAATCGGTTGTTCAAAGCAATTACAAGAACGTTTTATGTAGTAGAACGTCGATTAAAATTCACAAATAGGCATTTATTCTCTGTATTCGTAATAAGTAGGCTTTTTCATCTAGTCACCTCTATTTGCAACTAACAATTCATCTGTTCTTCTGAAGCGAGGTAAATAGGTTGCAGCCAGTGCTTAGTTTCAACACAGGAAAACATATTCCAGCATCGTCGTACAAGGATGAGAGGAAACCGGTTAGGAGTTTGATATTGAACATTTAATGACTCTAATCACTGCTTAAACCGGGTTGGTGGACACGGATCCACCTATGGGAGTTGGGAAACCATGGCCCCAAACCAATCGTGTACATGGGCTCCACGATCCTGAAGAAACAAATAGCGTATGGATCAATTGTCGGTCGCCGGCTACCATGGGACTGCATCTCCTCACGATGCTTCACTCACTGTCTTGTAAATCAGACCTTTAGGTCAAAGACTCGAGGTTTGGCCCCCTAAAAAAACCATCTGCTTCGGCTTGTGCACCCGGGCAGTATCACATCCCACACACAAATCAAGTGACTTGTGTGGAGCATATGTATTCGGTGCCCCTTTATACCAATATTTATGCGTTCAAATAAATAATAAATAAAATTTTTGTATACCATAGACTAGCATTTATGATTACATCGAAGCACTGAGAATTCCTTCTTCATCTCTCCACGAAAAAGTTACCATATGTATTAACCCGAGGTCAGTCAATCATTCAGCTACAACGAAGGGCCAGGTACTTATATGCATCGGTTCAAGTTGCCATCCCTCATTAGCACAACAAGATGAACACCAAATTCATAGAACTAGTTACTTCAATAGTAGTATTATATAAAGGAAAAATTGAATATAAGGATATAATGCAGGGAGAGGGGGAAGAATTAGTTCGTATAAAGCAATTTTAATCTCACGGTTTGAGAAAAGATATAGAACGTATACACTTACGTCATTGTGATCAATTCTGAACCACGTCACACAACGTCTACAACCATTGGTTACGATGGACACGCGGACCCAAACCAAGCAGTCCGAACCTACCATCATGGCTCAGACCAGAAGTTAGTGGCTTCAAGGATTGATACCAAGTTTGTTTTGACCACCCATAACAATCTTCCAACCGTCTCCAACACTAGTCAGCATTGCCCGTCGTGGTAATCGGTGTTCAGACATACGTAACACGTGGCCCAACCATCTCAGTCGATGAAGATTCACAACCTCATCAACTGATTTACCATCACTACCTAAAATTCTGCGTCCAACCTCACTATTACTTACCCGGTGATCCCAGCAGACGCCAGCAATATTTCTAAGAAATCTGTGATCAAATACTAGTAACTTACGAGTATCTTCTACTCTTAGTGACCACGTTTCGCAGCCGTAAAGTAGAACAGAACAAACTGCCGCGCAGTATACTTGTCCCTTAATTGATAGACAGATATCTCGCCTTCTCCATAGATAAGTTCGCAAAAGTCAAGCGAGCTTTCTGAATCCGTGCACAGATTCTGTCAGACATTGACCTATTAGGGTTGATCAGACTTTCAACATAAGTGAAGTCATCGACGCAGGCCAGTCCTGGAGCAACGCCTTGCATTTCGAGGGGGGAAACACATCCTAAGCATCCTGGCATTGTTGCTCAGTGCTACCAAAAGACTCTGAATTTTATCAGCGACTTCACCAAACAGGACTATGTCATCTGCGTATTCTAAGTCGATAAGTGGACCTCCTGGAAGGAGATCAATGCCCGAAAACTCAGACGACGAGAACGTCATTTCCAGCGGTAGGTCTATGATGGAATTAAACATAAATGGAGATAGTGGACAGCCTTGCCGGACACCACATGAGGTTGCAAGAGCAGATGACAGTTCGCCATAAGTTCTGACTCGACCGGCAGTGTTCGAGTAAAGAGCCTTCACAAGGTTTATGTACTTCTGAGGTACACCTTCCAATGACAGACATTGCCACAGAACCCCAGTCAGTAACAACGTAGAACCTCATGTGTACGTACATCAGTTTGAGTTGCCACACCACATTAGCACAGAGATGCAGTTGTCGATTCAAATCCCATAGTGGTAGAGGTGGTAAGAGTATAAGCAGTAATAGGAAACATTAGGGTTTGAAGATGTTATTTAAAGTGTAATCCAGTGAAATAAATTTAGAAAGAAAATAAAGGACATGAATAATTCAGAAGATTAGAATTTGGGAGGGCACAAAGAGTGGATGCACCTGCGCCATCGCAAACGATTTTGAGCCATTTATCGTATCGTGAGCCACAGAACCTCTCGATCTCGGAGTCAAATGCTGCTTTTAAGAGTCAAGAAAGACCACCATTGTCGGAGGCCGTTAAACATGCCTGAGTTCTAATACCTGACGAATGGTGAATATGTGGTCGATACAGCCATGACCATGTCTGAAGCTAGCCTGATTTTCTTGTGTTTGCAGTTCAAGAGTCCTTGTTAGGCGCTCAATAATTATTGAGGCTAGTATTTTAGATGCTATGTTGGTCAAACTAATCCCTCTATGGTTATCATAGGATGATTTTGAATCGTTCTTATATAGTGGGACAATCAATGATTGCGATTAGTTAAATGGGATTACGTCCAACTCTCACATTTTAGTTAAAATATTAGTCGATCTGATCACTACAAATGGACCACCATTCTGGAGCCAATCCATCTGAACCAACTGTTCTTCGTCGTTTCAGATCAGCTATAGCTTTTTGAACTTCAATTAGAATCGGAGGACCTACTTCAATATTCCATCAAGGCTGTTTGGGAATGGTGGGGTAGTTGTAGAGTAGCTGAAGGCCAGCTGAACCGCTCCTTGAAGTGTTCCACCCATCGTTCTAAACGTCTGAGCTGGGAGCAGATAAGAATGTCGTCTTTTTCTGAGATCGCCTCACTTACACTTCACTTCTTAATTCCAGTTTTTTATTAGTCTGGAAAGTTATCTCGCGTTACCTACAGCCGCCGCCTTTTCCATCTCTTCTGCTTTCGTTGCCTACCACTGCTCACGGTCGTTCCTCAGACTTTTGGTTGATCTAGATCTGACTTTTCATCGTGTTCACAGCCTGATGGGGTAAGTTTACGAGAACCTATCAGTGCAATAGACTTATTAGAAATCCACTGATTTTTCGTGATTTTTTGGTCTAAATCACTAATAGATGTCGCTGCTGTTTACACAGCTGCTTGTATATGTTCCCAAGCAACATCTGGGTCAGCCTCATTTTCAGAACTACCTAAGTGTGACCTCAGATGTTCCTGGAATTTACTTTTGGCTTTCTCGTCACTGAGCTCAACTCTGATGAGTCTTCTTAATGCGATTTTTTGCGTCCAGTGAGGGGCGAGTAAATGCGTACTCTTATTAACGCATGACCGGAGTCTAAACATGTACTCCGAGGACACTGTGGGGTTACAGAGTCACAGATGAGGCAGCACTCATCGACTAGATTCCCATTAACGTCTTGTTAAGTTTAATGGCTCGATAAGGGTAAGGTACAATTGACGGGGTAAACTTCTGCTATAAAATAAATAGCCATGACTGAGGATGTTCCTAAACTCCAGTGGTCAACAAGTCCGAAGTGAAGTTAAGCGGTAGTTCTCAATTACGTTATCACCTTCTCAACCTTCCCATCAATGGCATACTGAAGATAGCTCTGAATAAAATATGTGATAGCGGTGTAAATTTGTTACCAAGACTTTTCAACCTAGAGTATCCTAATGAGTCTAAAATGTCACTAATCCGCATTTTGAAGAACCGATATATACTTGTATACAGATGTCATATATAATACATGTTAGCGATTTCCCAATATTACTAATGGTAACTGAAGACAAACGGAAAGTCAATGGTCGATCAAATACTTGAAGCCCGAATAATAATGGATGATACGTCTGGCCTTAAGCAGTCCAGAAATAGCATAAAGATAAAAGATTCATGTATTATACAACATTTTTAGAAATGACTTGGTAATTTTCATACAAGAGAATCGGTATATATTCCTAACTACATTGAATAATGTATTACTTCTAAATGTGTATTTAAAAGGATTAGTGGATTATTGGTCGTTAGGTTTAACTTTACATAAACTACGAAAATTAAAGAACTAACTTTCCCGTCCCATCCAAGGGGTAGATTCTTAGGGTTATAAGGAATATCATCATCCTCTTCATTCTGACCGTTTTCTGCACCTGTAGCATCCTTATCTGCATCTGTATCATCTTCATCTCGTTCGAATCCTATTCGTGCCTGACGACGTTGTACGTTCTCAATAGTAGCTTCGCGATGTTCTTTGACCAGTTCACTGAGTCTGTATATTCTAGCCTCTAGTGTAGCGATTTCTTTTAGCTTTTCAGATAGCGCTCTATTAATAAAACAAAGTAAAAGTTTAATACTATCGCTATCACAGGAAGAACACTGAAACAGATGTAGCTTATGGGACTATTCTGCGAAGAATTATTGGTTATATTTTTATAGCACAATTGTCACTGCATCCTTATGATCTCCCGCTTATCAGCTATCGTTGGGCAAATAAATTTTCGTTCCTTGTTTTATATTCTCTAAGTTATTGTTAATCAATTATGAACCTATTACCTAGTTTCCATTTACTGATAGTGTAGTTATGCCCACATTGTTATTTCGCATTTATGTTGGTAAGTAGTCAGGCAATTAATTAATATTAAGATGTGTTTCAAGTTATGAACTGAATTATACAACGGGAATTAAATTGTCCGTTGTGTTCTTGTCCTATATTGGTCATTGAGTATGCGAAAGTGAAAAGTTTCACTTGGGACTAATAAGCGTTAAGTATTAGTCTCAGTCGTTATCTCACTATCATTGGCTTGTTGATGAAAGGTAGGTCATTTCGCGATTGGCTAACACAAAATCATTGGTCCTTACAGGGGATGTAGGCGAACTAATCATCAATCGGAATAATTAGTACAGCTGATCCCACGACAACGCTTCGGTTACACAAAACACGATCCAATTCAGGAACCCTATTTTTTATCGTCACATCAATTTCTAACTATTTAAAAGAGGGATATTACTTACGGAGGTACATGTCCCCATGCAGCTGTCTTAGCGAAACCTTTTGTCGACCGTTGCTTTGTAACAAACAGATCTGCAGGTAACTCTTCGAGTGATTTACCTTTTGTAGCCCATAAGCGACGAGCTCTTTCCTCCAAAGTTCCACCACATTTCAAGCCCAACGCGAGTAACGCTGACTTAAGCCTATCAAGTCCAAGTGAAGCAAGTTCTTCCCAGGCTGTAAAAGCGGTCAAGTCCAAATGAGCACCTCCATGCGCTAAGGCAGATGCTGCCTCACGACCCCAACCAGGAAATGTTCCTTGAGTCCATTGTGTTTCGAATTTAGCAAGCGCTTCTTTAGTTTCCTGAAGGTTCACAAAATTGGATAAGTAACACATGAACATATTTTTAAATAGTTCGAGTTGGAAGTAATAGTGAAATTTAATATTGTAAGTTAGCTCACCTCTTCTAAATCCACTATAGGTCTGGCACGCGATACGAAATTTTCAAGATAACCAAGCAACTCTTCGAGGTAGCTAGTAACAAGTTATAAAATACGTAAAGGCACTTACGCTTTATATGCTATTCCCTTTTTATCACGAGATATATCATACAATCGGTCGAAGAAGGAGATATAAGTGAGATAATCTATGCGCTACATAGAATTGATGACCATTAAAACCACTGAAAGTGACTTACTGGAACACCTTTTACATTCAGATATTTCTTATACACATCATGTAAATCCAGATAACGACCATAGCCTTCCTCATCTGAAAAGTCAATAAGTACAGCATTCGCTTCTTCTGGTCTTTCTCTCATTTCTTTGTACTTTTCAAACTCGGCAGACATCGGGACACATATCTTATTAAGTAACGATTAGCAGCGACATTTTTCAAGCAAATTACCTCGCCAGGATGCTTGCGATGAAATTCTTTAATCTGCTTTAATCTATCATAAAACTCGTTAAATTCATTTGGACCGGAAAGTGTTTGAATATCAGCCTTGCGTAGACTATAGGAAATTATATGAGAAAGTAAAATATAGACTTACCCATCTTTATCTTCATACAGATCTCTTAGTTCTTGTGTTACATCAAAGTACCTCTATAATCATAAAATACAAGTAAATACCTCACTTACATCATACATAAGTCTTAAACGAAGCTCTGAATTTAACTTTTCTCTATGCTAAAACAAAAATCAGTTGATTGAACAACAGCTTACTGTGGTTGGATTATAAAGCATTTCTTTTGTCAATTCGTTTATTAGTCTCTCCCGCTCTTCGTGGATGCGACGTTGCTGTTCAAGCACCGTTTCCATATCTGATTGTTATTTACTTGCTGTAGTAGTTAAAAGTGAATATTAAAAATTTAAAGCAATTAGTCCCTTTGATAAATTTCGATAATGTAATAAGAAGACGAAGATTACCAGAACTATATGATATATTAGCGCAATACATTTCGAACAAATTCAAACCCCCTTTGTGTATTCAAAAACAGTTTGTTCTCACCTTAAACCTACCCTGGTAATATTGGCTTATTATCCAGAGTGAACAAGTTTCAAATTGTGTTCACATTATTATTATTATTATTATTATTATTATTATTATTATTATTACTATCATTATCCTTGTCTCCTCTTACCCTATTTCCAGTCTAGTTGACTTTTTATTTTTATATATAAATGTTCTTAACAAGTATATATGTGGTCAGCTTGTTCGAAATGTATTGTGCTAATATATCACATAGTTCTGATAATCTTCGTCTTCCTATTACATTATCAGAATATTGAAAAGAAATATTTCTAAACAGAAATGGATTTAATAAAGCTTTCAATAACTTCCTTTTTAGATTGTGAATTTAAAAACCAATAGATAACAGATACCGAGGAACTGACAGGTTTACTACATTTTTTTGTCACTACCATTAACTTGTGTATTTAAATTATATAATTATACAACCCCTGGTTTCAAGCTCCAGAATACATAGTCATTTATTGCCAATCTTATAGAATCTACTTTTGAACATAATACATAATTGTAACTCCCTTCCATACCATCAGTGTTTTGATCTTTATAGTTTTTGAAACTGAGATTTATAAATATTTGTTTCTACTTATCCATAACATCTTTCTAAATCCATTCAATTTGTCAGTATATAAACTAAATTGATATAAAACCTGAAAGAATCAGTACAATGAGTAATCATGATTTTAATTTCCAACGGTATAAAAAATATTCTGCTTTTGTCGTAGAATTAACGATATTAGAGGGGACGCATGTAAAAAGGCTTAACTAATGTCTTTACCATATTTTACTACTCTAGTGACTTCATAAGTAAAACCTTCGTTATAGCTTCAGTTTCTAATTAACAATGTCAGTGCGTTAGTACATCTTTATTCAGTCACATCGAATTCTATTTAATGTTTGCTTAGGTTGATTCCTGTTGTCTTATAAGAAACTATTAATCGTAAAGAAAAACATTTGACTAGCACTTTCACTTGGGTAGCTGATCGCCAGACCAAGAGTCAGGTCGAGTTATGCAAAACGAAGACTCATTTGAAGGTACTCGGGGAAGCCCTGGTAGCGGCCCCCAAATGCCCTGGTATGGCCGAGAGTGGGTGGGCCCGCCCTCCCTCTCGAAGTGCTCTCACACGGCCACGCCTATATAGCCTCTGCCAGGGAAGTCCTACTCATTGCCTTCTCCTGGCGGGTGTTGTTTACGAAATTGGGAGGACGAAAAGCGGATTTCCGGCGCTTTAACCGGATTCCAAACCAATGGTGTACATGGGCTCTAGTATCCTGAGGGAACAAATGGCGTATGAACCAACTGTTGGTCATCGGCTACCATGGGACTGCATCTTCTCATGATGCTCCACTGCCTTGTGGATCAGACTTTAGGTCAAAGGCTCGGGGTGTGGCCCCCTAAGAAAACCACCTGCTTCGGTCTGGGCACCCGGGAAGTATCACAGCCCACACACACAAATATGGTGTGGCGCATATATATTTTATGCTCTCTTGTACCAATATTTATGTGTTGAAATAAATAAAAAAACTCGGGGAAGCAGCAACTTGTTGGTTTAAATCATGAACTGATCGTAGCTAGACAACCACTAAAATACAGTTTGAGAGGAATAAATGCGACCGATATATGAAGCATTAGAAATGACAGCTAATTCGAGATTTGAATAAACCGGAAAAACGATTTGTACGCCCATAAGGTACCATGATTAAAATAGGCAAAACTAGCTTTTTGTATCTGTGAAGAGGGTTTATTAGCCAGCAACTCATAGGAGCTAATAGAACTTCAAAGTAAGCTGAGTTGCTAGGACACTCAAATAAGTCCCTCTAAAAAGCTACAGTAATTACTGCTATAAACCAGTTCAGAAACATCATTCTACATTTTGCGAAGAAAAACTTTAAATGCTCTTTAGGTATAGATTAGAGTCCAAAATATAGTATTCTAACTTTTTCAAACACAACTTTTACTTAATTCTGAAAAGGGGTGGTAAAATCATCAAGATCCCACATTGTTAGATCAGTAGGAAATGACCACCACACAACATAGCACGGTAAACGACACGTAGTAGTCAGACCTTAGATTTGTCACTATATGCTGAAAATAACAAGACCTGACGCAAGATAAGACTTGCGCGTTGAGCTGAGGTGTACTGGCCTATACTTTATCTATAAATACAGGAAAAGATTATGTACACTCAGACGAACCATAAATCACGCAGTAAAGTAATGATTGACGCAAGTTATTTAGGGCCCTCGTTTGTTGCGTTCTTACTTAAATAGCACACTGATGTGAATAAAAAATATTTAAGCCAGTGATCATCATACATGAGTTTTCTCAACTTTGAGCCGATGAAGATATAAGCATTCACATAAATACTGTTTATTGTAAGCTTTAGGCCAATATTCTCCACTTTATATGCAGAATCTAGCTCATAAACCCAATTTAAGGAGCTATTTGCCTTTTTTGTAACTACACTGCTCAAAATTTTCGTTGCTTCAATCATAAACAACATACCAAATAAATAGTACGAGACAAATTTGATGATATACCCAAGTAGACCACAGAAACCAAAAACGCGCTACTTTGGACTAAGCATCCAATACCTTACAAGTGCTGCTTACAGCTAAGAGTGGGGAAAATATTTCTTTGAACAAATTACCGTAGCTTATCGCAGTGGATAAATAATAACTACTTATAGGTGTGGGAATATAAGTCATAAAAAATGAATATATAGTAAATAAATATAAGATATAGTAATAATTCTCATTTTTTGTTGTAGTGAAAGAGTCGGCTGGCTTCTGCGCCTATGCGCTCAAAGATTTCGTTCACAAACGAGCTCATGATCGACATTGCTTTCGACGAGATACCAATGTCAGGATGAAATCGACGAAGAACTTTGTAGATGTATATAGCATAACTCTCTTTCCTCCTCCTCTTTTTCTTATCAACCTTCGGCAACTTAACCTTCGACGCTTTCTTCGCAGCCTTACCAGACACAACCTTAGGAGGCATCACTTTGTAGACGACATTTGGTAAATAAAGAAGGAACGAATTCAGTTCAATTCATTCCCTCTTTATTTGCCGAATATATGATAGTGCTAATCATAAATACACTTTTCTTTTATCCCGACGAGTAGAAGAATTGTATCTCTGGCGTTTCCTAACTTGTTGTAAGTCGCTTCTTCAAAGTCAGTAAAAAACTTATATTTGTAATTAACTCTCTTCCCAATGCTCAATTCATCGGAAACTAACAAATCCACCCTTGGTATTGATACCTATACAGTTCTTAGTTTTTATGAAGATATTTAGCCTTGTTTTTAATGGTTCAAAGAAGTTTACTCGAACTAAAGAAAATGGAAATGGGTTCATTGACTTGACTGGCCCCCAGGAGTATAAAGAAGCCTAAAATTAGCATACCATATTATGATTTTAAACTCCATGCAATATTTTAATGGTTAGTATTAGGACAGTATTTTATTGTCTTAGATTTTACAATCAAGATTAACTTGAAACGATACATTATTTATCATTTTACTTCGTAATAACCTTTCCAGAAAAAGAAGGTTCACGTCAGTTTTACGGGAGTGATCAGTAATTTACGACAGGTGTCTACAAATTATAGATATATAGATGTAGAGGTAACTGCAGAGATACTCAACATTCTTTTTGGAAAGATTTAGGCGAAATAATAGGTTTTAACAGACTGAATAAAGAGATACCTCTACAGTATTGCTAAAGCAAGAAATATTGTTAAGTGTGTGAACTACAAACATTTTTAGTGTTACTTGGCAGAATGAAAGATCCAGTAGACACACATATTCCGAGAAGAACAAACTAACTTCCAATGGATAGATCATGTAGTAACAAAACAACAACATGAAATATCATTTTTGGACAGTCAGTAGAATGAAATGTATTCCTTTACATCGAACCCCTAATTATACGAGACTGCTGGACGGCATGAATAGGAGAACCATGTAAAGTCCTCTTCAGAACTTTGGAGAAGGTTGTCACAATCACACAGAACACTTGCAAGGGATTGATTTTTAGTCATTTATGAAAGGCAGTAACCAGAGGTATTTCATCTGTAGATATGTATCAGATAAAGGTGCCTGCTTTGGCCTTTTCTCCTTCACCTGGCTCGAATGCGTTGGGGATCTTGAGCACGGCTGCATGACTGACATTTTATACTATTCATCCCGCAGGTGAAAACAGTCAGTATAGCAGAGGCAACACCGAAATGCGTTTCAACACACGCAAGTTAGAAGCCTGACACTGAAGTGCGACACAACGAGTAATAACTCAGCGACACGTGATAGTGAAGCTTTGAACGAGGCGGTGGCTCTCTTTGTGTGTCTTTGCAGAGTCACTGACAAAAATAAGGGGCCTATGAAGATGTCAAGGCATGGATTTAAAATTGGAGGAGACGTTATTACATCAAAAAATATCTGCAACTCGGAAGACCAGTTTTCCAAGATCATGATTTTAACCATCTTAGTTAAAGCAGCTCCACTGCACAAAATTGAAAATTGCAGAAATATCGCGACCAGGCTCTGACCTCCAGGAATTTTCGTAGTTGTGTTCTGTCCGTTTCTACATGACCTGTTTCAAATCTTTCGAGGAGGTAATTAACAATAGTTGCATCATCCCTCAAAATAAAACTGAGATTAGTCGAGAAACATCATCAATTACACTTCAAGCTGCAAATAAAACTAAAATCGCGACATTTGGGCAGAAAACTTTAACCCTAGATTTGGGGTTCAGGAGGCAATTCCCTTGGGTTTTCACGGTAGCCGACTTAGTTCTGGCAATACTGGGGGTGGACTTTCTAGAGAGATACGAATTTCTAGTTGACACCAAGAAACGGCGATTAACACTAAAAGAAACTTCGTATTACACAAAAGGGAAAGAAAGTCACATCAGCTCTCTTAACTTGATTCAAACTCCCCCAGTAACAACAGCGAAATTCCAAGATATACTCGCGGAATTTCCAAACTTAACTAAACCAAACCCACAGCCTTCTAAAGACAAACTAAAAGTGGGTCACACTATCAAAACCGAAGGTTCACCGGTGTTTGCAAAACCCAGGAGACTAGCACCAGATAAGCTCAAAATCGCTAAGGCCGAGTTTGATTATATGCTACAATTGAGTATTATCCGTCCCTCTGATAGTCAATGGGCATCCGCTTTGCATATGGTCCCAAAGAAGAATGAAGGTGACTGGCGACCGTGCGGGGATTACAGAGCCCTAAACCGTCAAACCGTACCAGATAGGTACCCAATACCTCATATCCAAGATTTCACAAACGGTTTACAGGGTATGAACATATTCACTAAAATTGACTTAGGGCATATCACAATATCCCGGTGGCTGATGAAGATATTCCCAAGACAGCTATTACTACACCCTTTGGCTTATTCGAGTTTGTACGCATGCCATTCAGTCTGAGAAATGCGGCACAGACATTTCAAAGATTCATAGATAACCTACTTCGAGATATGCCATTTGCGCAGGGGTATATAGACGACTTGTTAATTGCCAGCCCCGATTTGCAATCACACGAACAGCATGTACAAGCAGTGTTGAAAAGACTGGATGAACATGGATTAAACATACATCAAAGTAAGTGTGTTTTCGGTGTTCAAACTTTAGAATTTCTCGGTCACACAATAAGCCCAGAAGGGATTAAACCTATCAAAAAAGAAGTGGATACCATCAAACAATACCCCGTACCTAGTTCTCTAACACAACTGAGAAGTTTTCTAGGCCTAATTAACTTTTATCGCAGATTCATACCAGGTTGTGCACAATTAATGCAACCTTTGACAGATTCACTTAAAGGAAAACCAAAAAAATTCAAACTGTCTTCCGACGCCGTCGAAGCTATTAAACAGCTTAAAGATAAATTAGCTCAAGCAACTACGTTGATATATCCGAATTCTCTTTCCCCACTGGCTTTGATGGTGGATGCTTCAGATAAAGCAGTAGGCGGTACTCTTAACCAACTGGTTAAAAACGCCTGGAAACCAATTGCTTTCTCCTCAAAAAGACTCGCTCCAGCAGAGACAAGGTATTCTACCTTCGGGCGAGAACTTCTTGCAATCTACCTAACCATTAAACACTTCCGACACATGTTAGAAAGCAGGGAATTCATAGTCTTTACGGATCACAAACCACTAACGAATGCGCTAAGAGCGAGAGCTGATAAATACTCACCTCGAGAAGTCCGACACCTTGACTATATATCACAGTTCACAAGCGATATCTTACATGTCAAAGGTCAGGACAATCAGGCGGCAGATGCTTTATCTAGGCTAGAAATGAACGTGCTACAGCAGTCCACAGTAAACTTCGAGACGTTGAGAAACGAACAAGAGCAGGATCTAGAATTACAAAACCTGCTTAAAACAAACAATTCAAGTCTTAATTTAAAACAGTTCCAATCACCTGTCGATGGTATTCTAATCTACTGTGACACGACCAAGGCAATGCCGCGACCTTTCGTTCCCAAAAGTATGCGAAAGTTGATATGTAATAACTTTCATTCCTTGTCTCATCCTGGCGCGAAAGCTTCAACAAAGCTAATCAATGCCAGATATATATGGCCGAACTTACAGAAGGATGTACACAAATGGGTTAGAGAGTGTTCAGCATGCCAACAATCAAAGATTAATCGTCACACAAATTCACCCATAGGTGTTTTCTCGCCACCAGATGCACGTTTTGCCCATGTGCATATCGACTTGGTAGGTCCTTTACCACGTTCAAACGGTTTTAATTATCTTTTTACATGCATAGATCGATTTACCAGATTCCCTATAGCCATCCCGATAGCGGACATCACAGCGGAAACAGTAGCCAAAGTCTTCATGCAGAACTGGATAACCATTTTTGGTACACCCATAACAATAACGACGGATAGAGGAGCGCAATTCGAATCCGAACTATTTAATAACTTGGCTAAACTTCTAGGCCCCAATAGGATACGCTGCACTGCATATCATCCTCAGGCTAATGGGATGGTAGAGCGTTTTCACCGTCAGCTAAAAACCGCCCTTATATCTCACTCAAACCCCAATCAGTGGACAGAATTCCTACCGTTAGTTATGTTGGGAATACGAACATCTGTCAAAACTGACGCACAGTGTTCAGCTGCGGAACTGGTTTTCGGAACAACTTTGAGACTACCAGGTGAATTTATTAACCCTAATACTAACAGTCAAAAACTTAATTTAGAAAATTATGTAGATCAACTACGGGACCACATGTCTAAACTTAAGCCGATTAATACTCGTGAACAATCGCGCCCCGTATATATACCTAAAGACCTAAGCAATTGCACGCACGTCTGGATAAGATGTGACAAAATAAAAGCACCACTCAGTCCTCCATTTGAAGGTCCTTTCAAAGTCGTCTCAAGAAAATCTAAATATTTCGTGATAGAAAAACATGGAAACATCGACACAGTAAGTATTGATAGGCTAAAGCCGGCTTATCTAGATCATGAACCACCATACGTGTTGTTAGATCGTTTAACTGACAAATCCATCACGGAATCGAAACCTAAAGATGATAAATCTTTACAAATGACTAAAACGGTTCGCTGGGCACATCCAATTAGTCAGTCAAGGATGTTGACAGTTTCGGCTGTAGGATAAAATCTGACCACGTAGCTAATCAGACCCTGCATCTACTTAAAAATATTTTTTTTCCTCA